AGCTCAGGGCAGAGCCTGCCTGGCACCGGTGTGGGGCGCCCTGAACCCTCACACTGCCGTGCTGCTAAGTCCGGTGACAGGCACGAGGAGCGGGGCTAGCCAGTGGTTCAGAGCGGCAGATTCCAATCCCAGCCCCGTCACTTAAATGCCCTGCGTCCTTGGGACACTTAGCCTCTGTGCCTCAATTTTCCCAACTGCAAAATGGGGCCAAGTATCCACCTCATACGGCTGTTGTGAGGCTGCAATAAGCTAATACCGTGTTCCCCCGAAAATAAGACCTAGCCGGAAAATAAGCCGTAGCATGATTCCTCCAGGATACGGAGGGCATGCACCCCTCACATGAGGGTTTTATGACCTGTTTCAGGGAGAAGGGTGCCTTTTCCACAAACTCCTTCAGCTTAAAATATTCAGTATGCCAAGGCGCCATATTTTGGCACCCAAAATCATGCAATGGCTTCTTTTCCAGCGAGGTCTTAGTTTCGGGGAAACAGGGTAGTGCCTGGCCTTTCACGGGCATTAAGGTGTCGGCTATCATTCTGAGTTTACTGAGCACCTACTATGTGTCAGACATTGAGTGCTTCACGTATTTTTGTCAAATTTAACTCTTGTGACTATGCTACAAAATGAATGTGATCCCCATTCTGTAAATAAGCCCAAGAAAAGTCATGTGTCCTATGGGTGGGTGCTGGGAACAGCCCTATTTGGTGTCGCCTCTTGTACAAGTTCACATGCTCAATGCACGACCAAGTCGCCATGTTACAAACATAACCCCAGCCTGAAGTGCCAGTGAGGAGGAGTGCTGAGGAATGACTACGCAACCTGCTGGCATTCTCAGCATTCATACGGGGCGTCTGGTGGGGGCGTGCCCATCACTGTTCCTGCCTGAAGGGGACTCTGCTGCCGTCATTCTTGGCCTTTGGAGAGGCTTTGAGAGATGGTGGCTGGTAGAGGGTGTGCTTGGGACAATCAAATGTCGGAGCTTTCAAAATAAAAGCAGTTAGGGTTTTTCTGCTTGTGCCACTACTTTATTTCTTAAGTCTTAAAACAAATGGAGTAGTCACTTAAGGCTCGATTTATCAAGACACCTTTGCAGGGCAAAGCTCAGTGTTCCCGCAGAGGTATCTGTGCACGTTTAAACCTTGGATGGAGGCGAGAGCTGCGGCTCCCTGAACTTATCTGAGACAGGCAAGTGCTGAAAGCCGAGTTCTAAGAGCCCAGAGGGTTCCAACTGGAAAATTCACTTTATCCCAGGTCCTTACATCCTTCAACACAGACACAGAGAGACTTTCTGTCGACGAGGACCCAGCCCAGTCCTGTCTCAGGAATCAGTGGCCCCATGGGTGTTAAGGCCAGGGGTCCCTATCATTTTATATGGCTTGAAAAGGTCACTGTCTTTGGGTCTACAGAGACGCACCTGTAGGGTGGGAAGCTGTGCAAGAGGGAAGCACTAATCTGAAGTTGGGGCCTGGCCTTCATCACTGGCGTCTGTGGCACTGAACTCCTCTGATCCCCGAGTTCCTAGTCTGTAAAACAGGGAGGAGGAAGGTCCCATACCCTTCACAGCTGTGGTGGCCAAGGAGCACAGAGGAAAGTGCAAATGCAACGGTCAGGTACCCCCGATGCATTTAAGATGTTTATGACAGGCTTGGGCTGCAATGGCTCAAGGAGGAGACTGTTCCTCTCATCAAATTACTTTTATCGCCAGCTGCCTGCATTCTGGAAGGTTTTGGGCACAGGCTTACAATCTCAAATGTTTTCTGTCTTAACGTGCAATTTTCTCTAAATTAGGTCAGAGGTTAAGTAACATCTGCTTGCATGGTCGTCGCCCACGAGGTGGCGCTGCTTCCCAATTAGCAATTCCTTTTGGCGTGAGGACGGCTGAGACCTTTCACAGCGGATCCAGTTGCAGCTGCAAGAGGAAAGTAAAAACAATGAAGCATGGGGCCCCCCACCTCCAAATTCCAAGGAGCAAAACAAGCTCTCGGGATTAAGAGCGCTGGTGACTAAGGCCTGCGGTCACAGACGATGTGTGACAGCAGGAAGAAGGGTCTTCCATGCCCCCACTGTATCCTGCCCCTTGCCAGAGCAGGGAAGAGGAAGCCTAAAGCCCCAGTGCTTCCGAGACGGACAGACATTGGCATACACAGGGTTCAGGCAATGTGTACCCAGGCTCCAATCTAGAGGGCTCACGTTTTTCAGAGGACTGATGTGAATCCAAACCGTGTAGCCAACGTGTCAACAGGCATCTCTGGGAGAGGACAGTGCTGCCCTCTGCACAAGTTCAATGTGAAGGGTACAGGGCCCTCTGCCTGGGTGCATCTGCCTCTCAACCCTGGGGCCCCAGAACCCTTCCATTCTCATGACAGCTGGTACCCCCTCCCCCAAGAGAAGGAAGGTCCAGAGATGCAATGCCCATGTTTGAAATCAGAGCACCCCCTTCTCCTCCCTTCATCCCCCACGCCTCAGCTCATTACTCGGAAAATAAACGGGCCCTTTCTGTGGGGTGGGCGGGGTGGGGGGGAGCCAGCATTTGTTCTGATTTGAAATGAAATGGTGGCAGGGTGATGGGGCCGACCTATTGTCACAGCTTGCCGCCACTGGTTTCACTGCCTTAACCTTAGAATGCTTTTGTAATCAGTATGTAGAACTGAAAAAAAAGGTGTCTTCCAAGCTCATATGGACGATGCTGATGACTAGATGCTACCTGTTAAAAGAAAAAAAAGAAATTAGACACAGTATTTTAATCTTTTTTTGGAAACTTCTCAGAAAAATTTGGTTTTCGGCACAAACATAAAAAAATGTGGGCTTGCCTTGTGGTATTTATTTTACTTGGTACTGAATAATCGGGACTGTGGGACCCAGCCCATGGGTATACAGCCCACAGCTACTATTAATTGGGAAGTTCTCCAACTAGACTTAAGTTTTGAGGACCGGGGGTATTTAGGTCTTTTATCAGTGGATGGAGCGGAAATAACTAACTTTAATAGAACGAAGACCTGTTTGCTAGGCTCCTAACCACCCAAAGCACCACGGACTTGTCCTGGACCCGATTCCCTTCCCCGAGTTCCTGGTCTCTTAAAAGTGTCACAATTCTCCTGTCCATCAAAATTGAATTCAGCTAACATGTGAGTGCCTTGCTGGTGCTTTTTCCCTCAGTATGTCTGACCTTTCCCCTATCATTTCATTTAACCCTCAGAGCCATGATTTAAAATAAATCATCTCCCATCTAGGGAAAACGAAGCTCGGAGGCTCAAGTTCCTTCTACTTGTCTCTCCCGTCCTCCCTCCCTCTCCCACGGCCTCTCTCTAACCAGTCTCTGAACTTCCAGGCATTCTTTAAGCTCAACCAGCCAATGGTTTCCTTAAAAATGGTCAACATGTGTTGCTTCGATTTAAAACTGGGTAACTTCCAACTTTTCAGTCAACTCCGAACTCTCCAGTCGGACTCTATTCTGTTTAAACAGCAAATCTCGTAACTTTCAAAAGGTTCCCTCTAATACGACAGCCTGTGTGTCCTCGCACCTCCCAACTGCACAATTGTCACTTCCAATCTTTCTTTACACACACTTCCTGCCCACAGCGATAGCGCATTCCCTTCCCCAACTCACCTCCTTGGAGCCTTTACTAAAACACCTTACACAAACAGCACCAGCCTACACTGAGTACTCCCTTGCCAGCCCTCCCAAGACACTATTACTCCATCATTTCGGGGGGGGGGGTGCGCTAGGATATGGCCTGAAGGCCTTGTATGTTGCTGGTGTGAGCGTAAACCTCTTGAAAAGCTAAATATTTGCATGTCCTACAGCCCAGCACTTGCACGTCTAGATTTATATCCCAGAGAACTCTTTCTTGCATACATGAACCAGCAGGCTGGTACAAAATGCTCCTGTTTATAATAGCAAAAAACCCACCCAAATGCCTGTTGACAAAACAGATAAACCTGGGTGTGTGTATATTTATATTTACATAGTCCCTCCCCCATGGAATGCAATATTGTAAAGTTGGTGACAATGGTTACACTGCAGGAAAGTAACTTCCCGGCCGGAAAACCAGCTGCGTTGACAGCCACAGGGGACAGGTCCAGGACACCCTTTCTATGAAACTCAAGGCTATCTGGGGGAGGAGGATGGAAAATGCGAGAACTAAATTTGGAGTAGTAGCTACTGCGGCGTGTGCTGCGGAAAGCAGGGAGGAGGGCTGGGTAAGGACACACATATGACACTGGAGACGTCCACGTTCACTTAAAGGTGACAGACGTGCATGTTTGCTGGCTAACAGGAAAAGCCGATGCACCAAGCCATCAGGGAGTCTGTGGTCACTTTGAACCCACTGCCACTGGGTACAGAGGGGACATTCGTTATGTGGCCCTAGATAATTGTTCAGTGCCTGAAAGCTGGAGCCTGTCTGAGTTGTTGTGCGGGATGTTGGGCGACAACCCGAGGGGCCTGGGCTGAGCGACAAGACGTCTGTCATCGTCAGAGGACATCGCTTATCTACAGATACTTGGAAATTGCCTCCCCCGAACCTCTTACAAATTACTGATTGTGTAAAAAGTGACTTGAGACTGGATAACAGAAGACAGAACCAATGAAATAAAGATATTCAATGCTGTACTGAGAGGGCTGCCTGGAAAACAAAATGATGTCACTAAATTTGAGGAAGTATATTAGGTCCTCTACACTTTTGGGGAGAAGGGGCCTAAATCAGGAACACAGCTCCAGTGTGACAAAGACCCTGGCCAGCCACCACAGTGGCCTCTGGCACATAGCACGTGATCAGTACACATAGAAACGCAGTCTCCTCTTTTAGTTACACAGGCAACCTACAAAGTCGGATTGTTTGGGGAAAACTGAAGGACATCAGATGGCAAAGGCTTTGGGGCTCACTGTCCATATTACATGGAAAGAGTGGGTGGATTCTTTAAAAAGAAAAAAAAATGATGATGTATCATGTCCTATCTTTCACTTTTACAAAATTTGCAATAAAGCACAATTCTTAAGCTGTTTTTCATTTTTTTATTGCTGTTAATTCAAGGAAAAAAGGTTGCATAAAATCCAATCTGTTCTAGAAATATAAGTGGCCTTTCCAGTACATAACATTTCAAATATCAAAGTATATGGTAAACATACAAATCAGGAGAAGGTAACATACCTCCTATGTACAGTACAGTGTTTTAAATCATAAACTAAGCTCCGTAAGTACAACTGGCACGTGACTCACCACGCAGTCCACATGTGGCTTATCAAAACCCTCACTTGAACAACTCAACTGCAGCTTAACAATTAATTTAATAGTGTGGTCCAAAAATACCCAGATCAAATAAAATATATTTCATCAAAATAATTTCCTTTCCTCGCACTTTTTTTATTTTTAAATTAAAGCTTTCATCTACCCCTTCACACCCTCCCCTCTCCCTTCCCCGTTAACCCCCCACCCCTGAAAGTTTCAAAATGTACATTGGTGCTATAAATATAAATGCTACCTATGAAGCATTAAATGAAGCTTCTTTTTTCTTCAAGTTTTTCCTCTTGTCTAGCGATCTGTTAGGCTTCTGAACCAAGACCAAATATTGAAGTTCCCTGCTGCAAACCAGCGCCACTGCGCCCCGCAGAGGTCTGTCATGTCAGCTTGGTGCTGAGGCGCGCCCCTCACCCTGGGACTGCACAGTGGTGGCTGCTCGCTGCTGGGGAACACAGCAGGCCAAAGAAGACACGCTGTCTCCCAGATAACCTCAGTGCACTTTAGGAAATCAAAAATTACCTGGAAGCAATTTAGTACATAGATTGGCTTTCAAAAAAAATTTTTTTTTTTTTAAAACAGCAGCATTAAACTTAGTGACATGACACTGACATGATTAACACCATCTTACCACACTCAGAACTCAGTCTTTCACATTATAATCAAGCATAGTGGTAAACTGTTATAAAAGGGACGTTGCCATGAGAGACAGGTTAGGGAACAAACACCTGACTTTTGTAGAAATGCCGAGTTTCTGTTCAGATTGCAATAAACCATACACATTTTAAACACAAGGTAACACTGTAACAGGTGGTCAGGGAGAGGAGAAATCGGTGGTGTCTCGTAGTAGCACGACACAGGGAGACTACGATTGGCTGTCATTACACACACACAGGAGAGCAACATTCACACGACTTTGTTCACTTTATGTCTCTCTGAAGCAACAGGCTAAAAAAGTATGATGAAGTAAAAAAGTTGTTTCTTTTTTTAAGAAAAAGCTCTCTGTCCACTTCACACATTTTTTTTTTTCAGTTTCATATGGTTTTACTTCTTCCTCTCTTCCACTTAGTTTAATTTTTATTTGGACAATAAGCACTGCATATATGTATTTACGTGATGCTGCTTATTACATATATACACTGTTTTGGGAATCTGACTTCTCCCTTAACATTAAGGGGAAACCATTCCCCTCAATTCATATGCAGAGCAGCTGACAAGTGCGGACCCATGAGGGCACCCCGAAGACTCCTGCAGGTGGTGACTGGAAAGGGGCAGGGTGGTGGGGAGAAACGTGTAGTTTAGGGTGAAAGTGAGAAAAGCTGGGGAAGAAGCAAAGTATCTTTTTTTTAAAACCATACGACTGTCACCAGTGTTGTAAAAAAAGGTCAAATACACAGTTTTAAAGATTCAGTAAACATTGCACACAGCAAGTATTCAGTGTTAAAAAAAAAGCACGTATCCACATTTTCCTTTTGATAGTTTGTTTGGATGTTTAAATTACACGTATCATACAGATAAGCCTGTTGTTGAACCAGGAGATCAGAGGCTCAAAAGCAATGTGTTGTTTTTGTTTTGGACATTGGTACAAGAGAAATGAAAACCCCAACTGCATAGAAATCTAGGAAATGTACAGACAAGGAAACACAAAATACCTTTCCTTTCCTCCCCTCCACGCCCCACCATGACTCCCCACACTTCGTGTATTAGGTAGGCAAGCTTTACTTGTTTCAGTCTGCAGAGTCCAACGTATCATTGGAAGGGGGGAGGGGAGGTGCGTATCTCAGTCTGTAAGTGCCTAAAACGGGAAAGACAGAACCGCTAAGTCACTGCTTACAACGCAATGCATCACAAACCACTGCAACAATCAAAGGGGCGTGCTCGGCAGGACTGCCATTCCGAACTGACCAAGAAAATCCCTTCTCAGGAGTAACAGGAAGTCTGTGCTTTAAGTTCAGCCTAAGCCGTCAAACTCAAGCTTCCTTTAAAACTGCCAAGGATGTACTCCCAATTCAAGGCTTTTTTCTCTGGGTGAGATTTGGCAAAGTGACAAAAGCCAAAGGCAAGCGAAGGATAATGGTTTGAGCTCTATATGGAATTTGGTATCTTACTCATAATTATTTAAGAACATTTTCTTGTTTCTAGTGGTAATATTACATGGCTCAAATTCCCTTACTCCCAAACCAGTGCTTAAAATAGTTTGCTCCTTCAAACGCAGCAGGAGTTTTTTAAAAACACTGACTGGGAAGCAAGAGGAGCGAGCACAAGGATGTGCTGCGGCCAGCTGGTTCTGCAGACACACCCGACTCACACCTAAACATCTTACAGGTCAGATGACGACACCACTTCCTAGTCTTTCAATATTTAAACATGTTGCTTACTTGATGAAAACAGAATTGTAGCTTAAACAAAAAAGTGCTACAAGCAAGGGATCTGACGTTCTCTAAAGCAAATTCCCATTATGTTCCTTAAAAAGTGCCTTTCCGGTTTAGTCCTTACTTGGAAGCTGAATTCCTCTGAACCTCCTTGCGCGCTGTGACCTGGGTCTACACTAGGTTTGCTGTCAGCTTTTTGTGATTTGTCACTGAGAGCACACCATCCGTAAACACACACACAACAGCTCCTTCTGCTACAACGGCAACCCCGTGACCAACGGGAGGGGAGACAGGGCACACTCAGAAACAAGTCCTCTGGGAGCTCTCGGGATTACCTGGCTGACTGGCCTCCATGGACGATTGCTTACACTCCTGTGCATAGTGTCCACTTACACCACAGTTGTAACAGGAAACATTCCCATTCTTCTTGGGCCCCGAACCGCTCGTGTTGGCAACTACACTGGGCGCTGGATACGTGGGATAGTATCTCCCAAATCCTGCCATCTGCTGCATGCCATAGCTGGCTTGGGTCCCAATGACCGGGTCATGCACCAGTCCATTTGCATATGGGGTCTGAGGCAGAAAGAAAGGAAGTTGGTTTCCGCTGCTCTGATGTGCTTGGTTGAGGTAGCTGCCATTGCAGATGGATTGCAGAGGGAAGATCGGGACTCGGTACACTGGTCCGGGCATCGGGTTAGGATAATAGTAACTATTTAGCTGGAGGTTTCCATTGGTTCCACAGCTACACCTTCGCCCACAAGAACCACAAGGGCCTGAGCCCATCTGCTGTGGCGGCAACACTGTCCCATTAGCATTCATGTTCCCCACAGCACTGATGTAGGATGTGCTGTCGCTCTGTGCAGTACTATGTGTCAACGCGGGGCTTGGGCTGGGGGCGGGGCCTGGGGTGTGAGTGGGAACTGCGGGACCAGATGGGGCCTGACTGCTGCCTACACCTGCTGACGGGGTCGACGTCGCCGCTGTGCTGAGCACACTGGAATTCTGGGTGGGTAACACACTGGCAGCAAGGGGGGAGCCGGGTAAGGTGTAGGAAGCTGGTGGCTGTGCAGCTGAGAGGCCAGCTGCTGGAAGGACGACCTTCAGACTGGTAGGCTGAGGGACTGATCCTGTGTTCCCCTCCATCTGAGGCACCATTTGACTGAGTCCTACCACTTGGGATGCAGGTTTGGTGATGGGCTCTGTGGTAGCACCAGGAGGTCCTGGAAAACCACCTGGGTTATGAACAGGCAGAAAGGCAGTGCTTGGTGGTCCGATGCTCAGACTCCCGGCTGGTGGCTGCGGGACATTAACTGTGCAGCTCTCAGAGGATCCCTGCGGCGGTGGCAACTTGAGCCTCTGAATTGTTAGGTGCAGAGCCGAAGTGCCGGCGTGCGGCAGGAACGTCGATGGGAGAGGTAACGGGGCGGCCAGGAGTTCGAGGTGTTTTTCTGCTTCTCCAGTAGAAGCTGCGGGCCCTAGTACCCCAACAGGGGCTGGGCTGGCGGACTCCCTGATTGCAGAGAGAGCAACGGGACTCGGAACAAGCATGCCTATCGTTTTGCCGTCAGCAGATTTGCGCGGGGGAACAATGACTTCCGACTTCTGGGCACCGCTGTGCATGAAACAGTGTAAAGTTGGCATAAAAGAAATATGCTGATACTTGGACGAGCTTAAGGGATCTTCTAAAAGGCTTCCATTGTCATTTCCTAATGAAGCAATTTCAACAGGTGGCTTGACAGTGACCGTCTGGTTGATGGAACCGTAACTTGTAAACCTAGTTGCCGACGGGTTCCCAGAGTCCTCAGAATTGCTGTCTGTGTCTAAGGGAAACAAATATAAATAGAAGTTAACACCAGTGTTAGCGCCCATCTTTCTTGCTTCTTAGAAATAAAGTTTAAGTACATCTAAAACGAACTCTGAAGTTTGGAACTGGAGTGAACGTGTCCCCTCAGCTTCCTAACTGCCAAGCTGACCTTCTTGTAACTTTTGGCTTTCTATGGACTTTATTTAAAATACATAGAGATGCTGGAAAAGGCAAAACTATGAGACGATAAAAAGATCAGTAGTTGCCAGTGGTGGAGGGTGGGGGAGAGACGAATGGGTGAGGCACAGGGGATTTTTAGACAGTGAAAATACTGTGTGTAATATTACAGTGATGGACACATGTCATTACACATTTGTCCAAAGCCACTGAAAGTATACCACCAAGAGTGAGCTCTCAGGTAAGCTATGGACTCTGGGAGAAAACGATGCATCAGTGTAGGTTTGTCCTTGGTAAAAAATGTACCATTCCAGTGATGATGCTGATAACGTGGAGACATGTGTGGGAGGAGCAGGGGGGGACGGGAAAACTCTGTACTTCCCTCTCAATTGTACTGTAAACTTAAAACTGCTCTAAAAAATAAAGTTTTAATAAAAAAGAAAAATCTATGGAGAGAGAAGCGACAAAAGTTTAATTGGAGACTGAATGAAGCACATTATAAAATACGGAGATTTATTTAATATCACGTAATTACTGAGAAAAGGATCAGGTATTTTTAACCTTAATCAGGCGATTCACTTGATTTATATTCTGTACTGCCAAACCCAAGGTCTTCATATTTGTCTCATGTAAATGATACAATTTAAAGGAGCTCAGTCAAGACTGTGTTTAACGCGGGGCCGGCCGAGTGGCTCAGTTGGTTAAGAGCTCGCGCAAGAGCTTGAGCTCTGAGCAACAGCGGTTTGATACCCGGCCTGAGCTGAGCTGCCGCTGAGCTGCCAAAAGGTGGCAGGATGGCTCAGCTTAAAAAAAAAAAAAAAAAAAAGACTGTGTTTAACGCAAATATCTAGAGGTAAGGAATGGAAGAGAGGTTTCTTTTTTTTTTTTTAGAATGAAATAAATATTCATACTTTTAAATATTTCAGTGGGGGAAAGAAAATTTAAAGCTACTATTACAGTCATATAACCAATGTGCTAGAACACAAGAAGGGCAGACATGAGGGCACTGCTACTCCTCCAAGGGTAAAACAGCCCAGTGTCAGAGCCAAGATTATACTGCACTTATTCTTATTACTGCTTCACTCTTATGCTTATGTATAGAAATAACTTCAATCCGGACTTCCCCTGGATTTCCTGACTTTTAGCATAAAGGGGGCAAGAGATAAAATCTAAATCACAACACTTAAATATCATAAACCAGATACTGCAATAATATGTAGAGACCATGCAATTAAATGTAGTGCCTATTTTAACATCTTTCTGCTCATAAATATAAGAAGAATTGCTTTATATACTTAAAATGTTTATATTTGTTAAGGTAATAACTAGTTATATTCAGCTAAGATGTTGAAAACTTTTTAAACAGAACACTAAAAACAAATCATACAAGTCTTTCTGGAGAAACGTTAGAACCTACTTGGTTACAGAGAATGTCAACAGTGTTATTAATTCAACTATTATAATTTACATTAGACACGAGATTCAATTTATGAGTAAACAGTTCTAGCATAAACTCCCCTTAATAACAGGTGTTTTCTGCTAAACTTCGCAAAACAAAATGTATCCAAAAATGAAAAACTTATTTAAGGGATTATATCGATATCTGTACCAAACACTATGAGTAGAGTTCAAGATAAACATTTAAGTCCAAAAAAGGTGTAACATTTTTCAATTAAATTTCTATAAGAACTAGGCTTCCTTTAATTCTTCGTAAGTCATAGCAAATGGCCTCATGATTTTAAATGGTCCCTTTTTAATGATTTGAAATCAAATGATTTCAAATGGTTTTCTGAGCATTGTAAAGCCTCATCTAGCTATTTTGCGATAAGTCTTGTCCTTGTTTGCACTGACTTTGAAAAGCATAAAGTCTCAAAACAAAACCCCATTTCGATCAACAAGAACAACAATGAAGCCACATGCTTTTCAAAGCAAACTTTTCACGCGCTCAAAATTCTAACAACGATCAAAGCATTTTATTGCAGTGGATATTTTACCCCCTTGCTGGTTCTGGAGAACTCTGTAAATGAGTCATTTACGGAGGGGTCTTTTAGTCACTGATAACTGAGCCAATCAATCCTCCATAGAGGCCCACCAACTCACCCTACGCACAGTAACCCAAGTGGATAGATGTACTAGTAACAATTCTGACAGAGGCTGAATCTGCACTGTCAGCTTCAGAGCCACAGGAGTATCTGTACATCCCACAGAATGAAGCATACCCTGTGAAGCGAAACATACTGAAAGCGTCTCTACTCTGGTAAGGCATCAAGCCTCTCTCATTTAACCTTCGTCAAGACCTCACACAGGTCACTGTCACTTTTTCCTTTTTGGAGGAAGCTACCCATCAGAAGCATGGTGTTGCTGCTGATTGGAAGAACTGGTGCAGTGGTGTGACTGCATGCTACGTTTGGTATGCGTTGACAGTAACTGCAAAGTAAAGAGTGGCTTTAATTGTATGTAAGTTCCTACGACATGACCTGATACTGTAACACAGAAGCTAGACTCTCAGAAAGCTGTGGACTGCCCCAAAGAAGCCACACGTGGCTGAACTGCTGTGGTCTAAGGATCTCTCTCTACAGATCTTCGGGTGGCCCAAGAGAAATCATTAAACACTGACCACCAGCCCGGGCGCACCTTACAACTGACATGTTGCCAATCAGATGTTGTCATCTGTAAAGCATGACATCCTCATTCAACATATACATTTTGTTTCAAGATTTTTATTGGGAAATTGGGGGATGGAAACAGCACTGGGGAATTGGGGGAAGGGGAACAGACAAGTTGCTGTCCTTTTGTTCTTCAGTCCAGTTGTGGAGTACGTTGCTTTACTGGCCCAAGTTGGCACCATCATTGCGCTCTTCCCGGGCGAGGCAGATCAGTCGCCGGCTTCTGGACGGCTGCTCACAGCGACTGCAAGCCGCTTACGCTGGCTGCTGGCTACACACGGTAGCCCATGGCAACCCACTGCCACAGGGGCTGCAGTCTACGCCATCGCCGGCGACTCAAGGCAGCCCAGCTCCAGGTTGAGCTGTTGTTCAGCATCTTAGCTGTAGAGGGCAGTGTCACTGGCCCTCATATGTGGGATCCGAACCGGGGCCCTCTGGCGTCCCAAGCCAGCTCTTAACCAACGCGCCACTCGGCCGGCCCTCAACATATACGTTTTTGAGATCTCACTTGTGGAACAGCAGAGGAGGGCCCTCTGATGCTCCATTCCTCCTTAAAAGCAATAAGAATCCAGGCAAAAATTGTTGAAATCAAATTTTTCAGAACTCTGAAAATTAAAGGCTTGCAGCAGTCTGAGGAGTGTTTATTCAAGAAAAACAGCTACTTATCTTATGAATAGCCAAGTGCTGCTGGCATTTCACCTTGCATAATTCTCACCTTCTCTGGAATAAACTAACAGCGTGGCACCTCCAGTAGCTACGAAAATCAGCAGCCCAGCAGCCTGGTAGCAGCTTGGCCTGGAGCTCTCTGAAGCACCAGCCCCAGAGCACTGTCACAATTTGACTGTCTGGCAGCTTGAGCTCACTCAGTGTTAACAGCCCTTTTATCCACAAGGTATTTATTTGTCATAATGCATCAGCAGCAACTGTTTAACACCTAGGCTGCCCGAGGCAGCATTACCTGTTGGGGCTGACAAAAGGCTGACCAAACAACTTAAAAGAAACAATTGCAGAATGACATATCCACAGGGAGCTTTGAAAAGCTTCCATGTACTGTACTCCTGAAACTCTAGAAGGCCACCCTCATGTCTAGGGCTGTATGCATGTCCAAGAAAGACCTGAGAAGATCCTCAACTCTCACTTCTGACTGACCCTGAGCCTCTGTGTAAAGAGCAATTGAAGACAAAATATATACAAAGACAAATAGCAAAATGGCAGATGAAAATACTACCTTATCAATAACTACAGTTAATAGATTAAACACTCCAATCAAATGACAGAGATGGGCAGAATGGCTAAAAACCATAATCTAACTATGCTGCCATTAAGAGACATGCTTTAGATTCAAAGACACATATAGGATTAAAGTAAAAGGATGGAAAAAGAGGTACTCTGCAAATAATACCCAAAAGAGAGCTAGGGTGGCTATATTACTATCAGATAAAAGAGTAATTCTTTAATTACTACTTTAATTACTATAAGAGTTCTTTAAGACAAAAACTGTTACTAGTGGCAAAGGATATTTTATAAGGATTAAAAGGGTCAATCCATCAAGAAGACATAAAACTTATAAATATATGTTCTTCTAACACATACAAATTTTCAATCTTTCTACACTAACTCTACATTTTCTCACGGCTGCCTTCTATTTAATTTCATATACAGTGAAATAAGTTTTAAAAAATCAACAATGCTGGGCCTGCTAAGTCAATGGTCTATATGACACCCTTTCTACCGATTAAATTTAAAATCAACAATGGCATAAGAACATAAAATTTCTTATGTCTGACTGAATTTAAGAGACAACACACATTTTCCACCACCACCCCAATGTCCTCTCCAAAGGACAAACCTCTGTCTTTTTCTTCTTCACTTTCAAAACTCTCTCTTCCATCATGCCGTGGGCTAGACGGAGAACTGTAACTCTCTGAAGATGTTTCTCCACACGTGTCGTGTCCAGATCCGATGTCCAAATTCACATCTAAAAATAACAATTCTGTTTTTAAAAAATTATGTTAAGTAGTTAATCTGTGAATTGAACCATTAGAAATTAGTGACAGCTGTAATTTACTTTTTTCCCATCTTCCTATAATCACCTAAAAAGCTGATCCTTGAGTAGGTAAAAATTCATTATCAAATCACAATTTTATTGAAAGTAATTGATAAATACATTTTAAAAACAAAGGCAGAGGAATAAGTCAACCTCATTGACTTTTAAAAATTCGAGTTAAGGTTTTTTGTAGTCTGTCCAATAACATGTTGAGATACTTTCTAAGTCTAGCTATTTTAACAACTCAGAACCTGTTGGAAATCCATTCTTTAAAAGAACTAAAGAATAGAACTGACTGCCAAAATGCCTATTTGGTGAAAATTACTATGCCTGAGTACTCGAAAAGGGTGAAATCCCATCTAGTGAGCTAATGAAAACTATAAAACTGTGGCACATATGGAAATTCTGCACACAAATATTTCAACTAGCATATAACAAAATGAAAAATTTAAGGATTAAGAGAATCAAAGATTCAACATGATAGTCTCAAACAAGAAATGATGGGCTAAAAGGGAACCACGGGGGTTGGTGAGCTGAGATTTGTTCACTCCGACAGTGAAACTACCATAGAGTCTTTGCAACTTCACAGAGTAAGTTACAGAGTATGCTAACAACAACAAAAAAGGCAACTATTTCTCAAAATGACACAATTTTAAATGATTTTCTTTATATTACATACAGCTAGTAAATATTCTAATCACATTATCATATATTAATTTGCAGTTTTCAAAGAACTGAATACATAAATAGAAATCTATAATAAACATAATTTTCTCTTTTTGATGATCTAAAAGGTCCTTCAGAATTGTGTAGTCTTTGGAATTTTTATAATCAGAAATTATGTGATCGTCTTAGAGTCAGAAGGTGTGAAGGTGAGGATGTGCCAAAGGATATTCCACAAATTGCCCACAAATCTCCCCTTTAAATAGAAACTTAAACTTTTTAAATCTGTTATCATGTCTCATAGGGTAAAAGATCATGCAAGACAACAAAAACCTGAAAATTTACAACATTAGCCACTATTCTAACAATAAAAGTCTTGGTTACTAGTATTTATGAACAAACAGAAGTTATTTAGACTTAATTGTTTAGATACATCAGAAACATAATCAAAAGCAGTTGGAGACCTTTAAATCACTGTAATCTTTTAAAAGAAATTGAGAGATGCCACAATCAGCAACAGAAGACCGAGTGATGCACTGGAACAGAGTTCTTAAAAATGTAGACGAGGTAAAGCTTACATCTTTAGCAGAGAGATGTAAATCCTGGGGATTTAGAGCAAATACACTGCAAAGAATACAGAGGACGAACTACACCGACTGCTTTTGGGGAGAAGACAACTTGGAGGGAGGCAGTGAGGGAGTTACTCTGTTCCTTTTATACTTTTAGAAGTTTGAACTACTGAATGCATTATTACTCAAAGTAGAAGTTAAACTTTTAAATTAAAAATAAGTTATACTTATCTTAAACTAGACTGAGTTATTTAAAGATCTGGACAAGCTACGAATCAGAAGGACCCAATGTTTTCAGCTTCAATATAGTAGCTACATTTTATGATATACGTGATTTTTTTCACAGAAAAGGAATCTTCAATATCTCGAGTTTACTGAATGCTAAAGGTGATCCCTTCTTGACACCTTAATATTTTAAAGAGAAATTAATAAACAGAGGGGTTTTTCTTAAGTTGGAGTCAGCAAACATCTGATATGAGCTACATTTGATATCAATGAGACGAGTTGTACAAAGTATATTACATTTAGTCATGCCCTATAAGTGTAAATATATATGAATCAGTGACATATGTAGAGGATAAAACAGAGTTAAGATTTATCTTAATAAAAAATCCTAAGGTTGTACTTTCACAATATTTGAAAATAAAGAGAAAGGAATTGGAGCTGGAGATGTTATTAAAAGTTCTTAATCTTTACAGTGTACAGTGCGTGTTTTCTGGTAACAGAATGGTGAAAAGGAGCTCCATTATTGAACACCTATGTGTTCGGTACTAGCTAAATGGTTTCATATGTTAATCAAATTTAATTCTTACAATCTGGTGAGGTATTATTCTGATTTCACAAATGAGAAAACTAAGGCCTCAGGAAGGTCACACATTTAAGCAACTGATGGAGTATAAGATTCAAACACGCATCTGTCTGACATCAAAGTGCATAGACTTCTCTGAAAATATGAAGCTAAAAAGTAAAGAACCATTGCAACCTTCTTTGGTGAGCACAAGTTCCCAAATTATGTGAGAGACCAGAGGCAGAGTGATCGATCATGTGAGGGTGGTATATATGTATCTGACAGAAACGTCAACTGGAGAATGACCTGATTTAGTATGTGCTTTACAAGACAGATGTGGTAGCAGTACAGAAAATGAACTAGAGCGAGGAACGAACGGAGACAGCGAGACCCAGCAGAAGCTATTTCCCATCATCCATCGGCAAAGAGCTTTTTGTCTTATTTTAGCTTTTTCCTCCTTTTAGCTGCTATCACCACATGAAATCTCAGAAAGGTAAGTGTTACAATATACATTAAACAACGTGGTTTTTTCCCCCATGTCATTTCCCCCCCACCAAAGACAGCTCAGTTATTTTAAGTCAGTGAGATGGCCCGATGATTTTACAGTCAAAATTGACCATATTTCCTTTATCAATATTCAATCTCTCTATACAAATATCTACTTTAAAAATATACCCTTTTAAAAAAATCCTGGTTATTTAAGTTGCATCGGAGCTGAATGTACTAACAAAATCAATTTAAAAATCCTTGTTTGTGGGACCACTCCAGTCAACACGTGTTAGATACCCAAGTGGACAAAGCATCCTAGAGGTCTGTGGGCTTTTATACTTTTTTAATCTTTACTATTAATAGTAAAGGTCACCATAACACAGAAAAGTTATAAATGAACCCGCAAAAGGGACATTTCTCAGTTAAATGAACACAAAACCTTTCACCTAAACATAAAGGGACCTTAAAAAAATGGTGAGCAAACGGAAACCACACACATCTAGTACCACAAAAATCGGAAAGTCTGAATTTCCCTGAAGCCCCATGAAACTCCACAGAGGACAGTCATTAAAACATGAAAAAGTCAGCAACTTTACACAAGAATGGGTCCAGGCTTTCATGAGGGTGGAAAAGACCTGCCAGGTTCTCTAGGCCTCTCCTCCGGAGGCGGCACTGGCTCGAGAAGGAGACAAGTAGGAGATTGCTGGTACCAGGGGAAGGAGAATGTGGGTCAGCATAGCTGTAGCAAGGGAATGCTTACCTCCACGACTGAGTCATGTTTCCTAGAATTGTCTAACTCAGAAGTTGCTGTTCATATCCACGCAGGATAAAACGATACCATCAGCATTTGACACAACAGCTCAATACCTACTATAACAGGTTCATGCTAAATATATTTAGATGATGGGTACATGGAAGAAAAACAAACATTCTTACCTTTCACAGAACCACCCTGGGCACGCTGAGGAGTGGAGAATCTAATACCATTTATTCTACTATTCAATCTGCTGTCAGTTTTCTTAATTTTCTCCCTAAACCAAAGATACACAAGTTACCAACATTTTTTATCAGGTTCTCTAGAGAATATATTAAGCATAATAGTATTACTAAAATTCCCCTCAAAAATTTATAATTAAAAAAAATTTTAGGCATAATCTAAAAGCAAGATTTAGTGTATAGTTCTGAGGGTTTTGCCTCTCCAAACTAATATATTTGACAATAGCTTTATTTTTATCATCTGCAGATGTTGATTATTTTGAACTAAATAAGTAAAGCCCAGAAATAAAAATATAAAGAAAACTAATGGAAAAATACTATTTGTACTACATAAACTAAACAAGCCCATTTTTATTTTATTTTATTTTTTTACCAATTTCTATTACTAGAGACATTAAATTGAACCTACTTTTCTATTTGTGGCTTTCCTTTCTTCTTATTTATTGAAGATAAGCTTCGTTTTTCAGTTGAATGCTAGTGAAAATAAAAAGAAATGAGACAGACTAAAGCTAAACCATACTCATGTAGATGTCCTATTATTCTGATATCAAATATTAAAATAATAGTCTCAGTTGTATATTCTAATACATTTTGATTTTCAACCTATTTTTGAAGTAATGTACTTGAACCACTAAAAGTTTTATATTCTCTGACAAATCTTAGTATAAAATCATGAAAAGAATATCTATTTTGTAATTTGCTTTTAGAATGGACCTGTATTCTTTCTTTTGACCACAAAATAAAACACAATCAAGTAGCTGGTATTTACTACAGTTTTACTAGTATTCTTTTAAAGTTCAGGTTGGTAAAACTGCAATACACAATTTTGTCAACTCTAAGAAGAAAAGGTGTAGTTATGAAAATGGAGGGAGAAAATGTATACACAATGGATTCTGAAAATTACCCATTAAGTAAGAATTGCTAAGATAACATTCAATTTCTCAAAATATGCTTCAATGCTTTAGTCCATAAAAATACATTCCAGTAAAGGTTAATGTTTGGATCTGAGTATGGGCCAGAAATAAAAATCAGGTTAACAAATATATTTTCTAGGGAGAAGGCAGTTCTCTCCATAGCTGCACTAGCAAGCATGCCCTCCGTACCATGATGCCAAATTATCTACACAGGTGAGAAAACTGTTTTCTGATTACACCAACTCCTCAGAAAAGAAACACGTCCTAACCACATTCAGGAGTGCTGGTAAATGGGCCCAGTTATTCATGAGGGAAGGTCAGTTCCAATCACCAGTAGCAACATAGTAAGTGAAATGTGAAGAATTCTATCAAAAGCAAAAATTTGGCATAATTTAATGTACCCCTAGTTAAAATAAACACTTTAGGCGTCATATTAAAATATACTCATTTTTTGAGTAATAAAAGGAAATCTGAATACACTTTTCTGGGTCTAAGAAGAGCTTAGATCACATAAACCAATTAAGTTTCAAGGCTCCCACTTAAGCATTCCTTCAGTTCTTCTTACCAGATACACTATCTGACATAATAATGCTTAGGGAACTCAACTCTCACTGAGTAGCAATGCTTTACAATATGACATGAAGACAAAACCCTGCAATACCTGGTCCGCTAAGGTCCCACCGTGCTCTGGGTGCTGCACGGTGGTGCAGCTCTGCTTCCTCCAGTCCACGACTCCGTTCTGTTCTGAATACTGCACGGTGAGCCCATCCAACGGGGAACAACTCGTACCTACAGTGCTGTCAAAAGAAAAGTGTACACATGTATAAAAATCTGTTCTCAATAATCTAACCTACTATACCATGTAATGAAGCTACAGTAACCCTTTCTTCAGTGTATTTTTATAGACTGTCCAGTGATAGCTCTAAGGGAAAACACAAGGATACCATGAGACTAAACCAGTACACAGCTACCTTATCTGTCTAATAATTAGCCCCTGTCTCTCAAGAGACTGATAACAAATGCACATTCTGTCTTTAGACTCTATGCAATGGTCATCCTGTACCACTTACAGTTGGGTTATAACCCCAATCTTGATAGAATGGCTGACCAAGTACTGTGTACACCTAAGGCATGTGAAGGAACAGGATAATGTGACTGAAAAAGAAACAGACAACAGAAGCAGATTCAAAGAGAATCCAGAGAATGAAGCTATTGTACATAATTTTAAAATAATAGAGCTTAATATATTCAATGACTACAAGAAGATTGAGAATTTTGGAAGAATACTAGAAAATACTAGATACACACACACACACAAATTTAAATTCTAGAACTGTAAAATAAACTGAAATTAACTCAATGGATAGAAACTGATGAAAAAAATCAGTGAAGAGGAAATCTGGTCAGAATAGACAAGGACTGAGGAAAAACATGAAAAATGCAAAGCAGCAGACTCAAGAAGCAGAATTCATTCAAAGAAAGCTACAAATATATTGTAGGAAAACTGCTGAAAACCAGGCAATGAGAAAATCTTAAAAAGAAAAAACACTATAATCTCTAGGGCAACCACTAGAAGAATCGAAAAACAATGTCTAACTATCAAGGCTAATAGAAGAGAAAACACACAATAAAAAAAACAAAAGCAAGAAAGCAGAGAAAAGAAAACCGAAAATATAGGACAAATAACAACCAAGTAGTAAAATGGTAGAATTATAGCCAAGTACGTATCAGTAATTAAAGTAAAGGTGACACTGATTGAAAAATGCACAGACATTTATGTTTTAGGAATTAGATACTTACTTCACAATGGGACTTTTCCCGGTATGTTTCTTGTGGATCATGGTATGCTGTAACACATCTACAGTACGGGAAAAAAAATTTTACACCAAATGCTTCCACAAAAATCCAAAAGGATGATGCAACCAATTTATGTGACCATAACAGTGTCAATAGACTGTGTGGAACATTTTTCACAGAAAATTCCTTCAAGAAACAACTTTTCAAAGGACACAAATGATCGAATTTCTTTAAATAGCCTCTCAAATGTATTCCACCTAATAGCAAATCAATTTTGTCCAAAATTATGGGATGTTTACAACAAGTATGCCACTGCAAAACTAAAATACTCAATTTCAGGCTCTTTTTTTAACCATTAAAAAAATAAAGTGTCTCAAATATTAAAAAAAAAAGATATCTAGTAATATAACAAACACCCATGTACCCACCTCCCATATACCTGTCTCTCTTTTTATTAACAAACAAAATATCACAAAACTGAAGGCCTTCTTCCATTCCATTCAACTCCCTGCCTCTACAGAGATCAACTAGTTGAAATATTCCAGTGCATGTTTTTATTTAAACTACCCGTATTTGTATTCACAGACACACACAGTGGTGTTGCATGGTTGAATATACTATAAATATTACTTTAATTGTCACCTAGTATGAATATGCCACAATTTATGTATAATTTTATTAACATTTAAAACAGTGGGGTAACATCCATGTATTTGCTATTACACACAACGGTGCCCCAAGATCCTCAGTCTGTCGCCCGAGCAGAAGGACAACAATTTTCATAGATGCAGAATTGCTGGGCAATAGCATAAAATTAATTACCTCCAACTTCATTATAGTGTCAAATTTCTGTTCAAAGTTAATTGTGCCAATTTATATTCCCATCAGCAGTAGATGAGCGTTCCCATTACTTCATATACTTGATAACGTCAGGCTGAAAATGTTTTGCCAATCTGATGAATGTGAAATGATATCTCACTGGTTTTAATTTGTATTTTCCAGACTACTGGTGAGGCTGAACACGGTTTAATGGCTACTCAAGTTTCTTCTTCTATGAATTGCCTATCTTTTGCAAATATTGCCAATCAGACTGATTTTCTCACTGATCTTTAGAAGAATCTTTCCATAATCTGGATGTAGTCTTTATTCATAAAATCCTGCAAATGTATTCTAGCTGTCTGGTTTCTCGTCACATGTTAAGTTGTGATTTAGATTAGAAAGAGCTTCACTATGGTCATGCTCTGCCTTCTCAAGAAAGCCTTCTTGTCCCAGATTATTAACATTTAAAAGCTTAAGTTTTATATTTTACATATTACATTAAGTTTATATGTTACATATAATTTGTCACTCACTTGAAATTTTTGTGCATGATATAAGTAGGGATCTAATTATATAATTCTTTTTTCAGTTGGAAAGCCAGCCAACTCCATTTACTGACTAGTCCATTCTTTCCCTACTTACTTGTAATGATGCCACCTGTCACATTCCAAGTTCCAATATGTCTGCTTCTCGGCTCCATAATCTGTTCTAATGGTCTGTTTGCATGTCTCTGTGCCAATACCTGACAAAACGACTTATTCCAGTGGACCCACATTTACCTTCTTCTTGACTTGACGCTTCCGAGCTGTCTTCTTTTAAGTGTTCTAGTATCTTGGAAGGCTTCAGAGAGGATTGCAAGTTATCTGTAGGAAGTATTCAATACTATTAACTTTTTAGGAAAATTATAATAAAGAGAAAAAGAAAACAATATAATGATTATTTTTCTTCCAAGGAAGATGAGAGTGGAGAGTCAGTGGCAAAGAGAACACTTCTACTCGATAGGACCTTTAAGAAAGTGGGAGACACAGCATGAAACACCGGGCCGGTGGGAGTAGGGACCCTGGTTCAAGCAGCCAGCTCTCCCCATAAAATCCACAGGACTAGGGCACGCCTCACATCTGTCAACCCCCATCATGAGGAGATGCACTGGATTAGGGCTTCTTAAACATCTCGTAAGGCTTTTTAAAACTTCTAATTGGTTGTTGATTGTTAATTTTATAAAGTACACTGATAATGTTGTGGTAATGTCAAACTGCTACAAATGACTCAGGGTCTACGCTCAGCTTCTGTTATTCTATTACAGACCAGGGACAAGTAAGCTGTGGACGAGCACTGACCGTGGAACAAGCTGTGATAGCACTAGCTTACTTCTCCCTTAAAACTCAGACCACTGGGACTCCAGTGGTCAACACTTCTGTCATTTAGGAGCTGAACATTTGGTTTCTCATTTGTCAGGATATGGAATGTTGTTCTCTATCCCGGGAGTGGTGGAGAAGGTAGAGCTGTCATTTTTCAAAAGAGTAAATGCAGATGAACTTTAACAACAATGTGTTCTTTGGTGAAATAGCATGGACGTCCTGACCAGATTTCCCATAATCTCAAAACATGTACTTTAACATATAACTTTAATTTCACAACAATTTGATATCTTAAAATTATCAGCCTTTTAAGCATTCATTGCTCATGTAATTTAAATACTGCCAAGCTCTCCAGATGAGTTTTCTGTCATTTATATCTGTACCACTCACTTGAGCCAGTTCTCCTGGGCAGCCTATTAACATCTGAATTAAAAGTTTAACTTTGTGTTCCAGTGTCTTTTTAGAACTAAATAGATGCTATTTATAGGTACTTAATAAAAAGTACTTACACTGTTAAGCAGAAAGCACTGATTGTTAAATCTATACAGCTCTAGAATGATCAGCATTCTTTTAAAATAAATCTATTGCCACTATTCAGATGTAAATTTAACCATGGAGTTGTTCATCTTATCTTAGTCAACTAGACATGAATAGTCATTAATTCTAATTGCTTTGCATCTGTTTAAAATATTTAAGGCATACACAGAGAGTGCCCAAAAAATGTGTACACATTTTAAGAAAGGAAAAAACTGTATTAAAATTTTAATACTCAGTATATAGTCACGTTTGACTTCTGCAATTACAAGATGTGGTCAAAGTGGTTACCATCAGAGTCTAGACGCTTCTGATTATGGCGAATTACTGCTACATAGATAGCAGTAATTCTAAATGTATACATTTTTTGGGGCACCCTCGGTATACAGACACACAGACAATTAGAAAACGAATCCATACGTTATAATACCCAATCATATTATTTTTTAATCTCTTTTCCTCCAAACTCAAATTGAGAAAATATACATTTTCTTTCCCCTTTAAAATGCAAGAAAATGACTTTTTTGAAAGAAAAAAGGACAAACTTAGTTGCAAACTTAGTTGCTTGCCATAGTGGCTGTGCTTATTTAAAGTTAGCAGAAATTCTCCTAAAGTGCATCATTGTTACTGGCAAAGTATTTGTTAAAAAAGGCAGTTTAGATGTGTATGAAACTAAACACAAGGCAGGCTGTGGTGAAAGCTGAAAGGTAAGGGCAAAACCAAAGTACTGGAGCTTAAGAAAACACTAGGAAATCTTCATGAGGTGATAGTTCAGGTGGGTGTTAAAACAGGTGTGACCTTAACAGGTTATGACAAAAGGAAGGATATTAAGTTCAGGTGCAGTAGCAGCCAAGACATTGGGACAGGCAATGGCAGGGTGTACTGAGTGAAGGAGCAGCTAGAGCCTGGGAGATGAGGAGGGAGCATTAAGAAGGCTCTTGGCGGGGCTTGAACTTCATACCAAACTTTTAAGGTTTTGAAAAGGAGATTTAGCAAATGACCTGAGATAATCCTGAGGTAGGTGAGCATGCAGGGAGAAGCCAGGATCTGAGAAAAGGGAGGCTTTGTACAGTCTGCACTTGTACAGTCTGCATGAAAGAAAGGCCTAACCAACAACAGCAGGATTGGTAAGGAGGGGTAAAAAGACAACCTTTGGAGTAGCATGGCTTTTAAATGACTGGATCAAAAGAAAGAGGAACAGTGAATACACTGAGGCCAAAGCTCCCAGCCTGGGAGGCTGAGGAGTTCATTACGGGAATGGGGCACAGGAGGAACGGCAGGTTGTAGGAGTGTGTTACACATCGTGCAACCAGCGCTGCGGCGCCCCACAGCCTGTAAGTCACACCTGTCAGGGAACCTGAGGACCCAGCATGTCCACGAGTCTGAGAGACTTGGCTCTTGCCTCGGAATCAGTCTGTCTAGTGACATTAGCTTTTACACATTATTTTCTTTAAAACTACAGTGTAAAATTCACTTTGAACTACAGATGTTTGTCAATTGTATGCCACTATTTCTTGGCTATAACTAAAATAACTACCCCACAGGACAGCATGATAAAGCTAGAAATCCAAGCAGGAAAAACATCCGATTTCTACAGAGGAGCAAGAGGGCGCTTACTGAGGCTGTGCAGAGGGTCTGATGATATGGACTGGAAAAAGCTGTGTACTTTCTGACTCTGTAGAAAAGCTTGTGATGATGTTGAGAATAGCTGCCTGCATATAAAGAGAAAAGAGATTTGTTAATTTCATGTAATATAAATCCACAAGAGTCTCAGTTGAGACTGTAAAGCAAACTTAAGTGGCAGTTTAATTCAGGTATAAAAATAAATTGTTTTCCTAAGGAAAAGAATATTATTTTCTAATGTATTTTCCACTGGAGGAACTGAATAAAAGTTAATAAAACTTATTTGCAAGAATCTAATAAATAGGCTTATTTTTAATTTTATATAATCTAGTAGTAAGGTTTCCATTATGGCAGAAAAATGTATTATTTCAGGCTTTTGGCCCAAGTGGTCCCATAGCTGCCTTTCTGCTCAGAAACAGAACTGTAACTTCTTTACTCTTCCTTCATAGGTGTTATTTTTCATCACTTGGCTGTACCATGAAAGAAATCTTCCTACACTCTGAACACAGGAGGCTGGGAAGTTTGGGATGCTAAGGGTCCTGGAAACTATGGAACGCAGAGGTCAGGGAAGTTTACATCCTAAGGCATGACTGATGATCTACTTCAAAGTGTGTCATCCCATGATCCTAAGCTGTCATCTTTGAAAATCAGCTCTCTTCCTATTTTATTAATACAATCAAAAGAGTCCAACTAGAGTTCTTCCCTACAAAAGGGGCCATAGTTACAGCACAGTCTAATGGAAAGTTTACTCATGGATCTGAACAGCAGCTCAATCATTTAAAAGCTCAACTACCCTACACAAGAAGTCTAGTCTTTCAGCTTCAATTTCCTCATGGGGACCACTACCAGTTCTTCCAGGTTATGACACTCAAACAGGATAGGTAAGTTAAAACTGCCACCTGCTGCTCAATATACAAATCCCCTTCCATTATTTTTGAACACTTTAAATGCTCATTTAAAATTTTAATTCTTAATTTGTCCCCAAGGTTTTTGACCTATCATTCAGATTAATTATAAAATCATTAAATACCATACCAAGAGATGGCTCTTACGGGCCAAAGTTGCCTTGACTGTAAGACAAAATTGCTTCTTGGTGCTCACATGCAGAGGTAAATATTCAATAGGAAGACAAAGGGGGAAAATGACGAGATGAAAGAAAAATTGAGATACGAAGTAAGGAGCTAATCTAAATTTCCAGGTCTGAGCACATTACCTAAAACTGGGCATTAAAATCCAAAGGCAGTGGTGGAGCTTATTAGCCAGTTACATTTACAAATCAGTTGGTCAAAAGTAAAGGCAGGTACACCTTCAATTCAAGGCCTGAGTCCCAAGAGATGGCTCAACACCCACCCACAACTCCACACCATCAAATGCAAACTCACTATGGGAACCACAGTGAGACAGGCACAGACTTGAAATCAGCATACAGAGAGAAGTCAGGGCTCATTAACGTATAACCACAACATGGTAATTACACTGATATTAAAAAGTCAAAGTGGCCATAAACTACTTGATAAGTTAAATAAGAAAACCAGGATTACATTTTGACATGACAAATCATCCAAGCCCAAACGTACATTTTAGTGCCATATTCTCATTGTCCTAATTTGCAGTGCATCTGGAACTCAGTGCAGCGTGTCCTGTGTCAGCCCATCTCTACTTCACTTATGAACTCATTTCCTATTTCTCGCTTGCATTTCCCACACCCCCCGCTTTATTTAATTTTTGTACAGTTCTGTAATACATCATCTATATATCACATCGTGTGTTCACCACCCAGAGTCAGTTCTCCTCTCCCACTTTATAATTGCTACATTTTTCAAGCGACAAATGATTATGATACTAATCTAAAATTCACAAACTGAGAATGAAGTTCCTAACGTCCTATTGTGTTGAGACCATAGGCTAGCCATACAAATGAATCAAAGACTTTTTTAAAAGGGAAGTATTAGAAAAAAATTTTTTAAGTATAATTTTTGAGGAAAAAAAGCCTTTCCAAAGGCTTTCCAAAGTTTCAAAACCCTGAAACTGTATGAGAAAAGACTGATAAATCCAATTGCATTTCGTACATAAAATTTTAAACTATCTGCATGGTGAAGAAATGACAAACAGGACTCCTTTCTTTAAAATAACACATGACTCTTATAAATCATTAACACTAATAAAAAATTGGAGAGGACTGAAAAAGCCATTCACAGGAAAGTGCAAATGGCCAAACAGATTAATATGAGAGTCTTCCTTTTTCAGACTGAGAAACAGAGTATTTTATGCCTGCTGAAGCATGAACATACAAACACAAGGGTTTCTGGGGTAAACAGTATTGCTACCCCCTCAGAAGTAATTTGGAAATATTGCATGTTGAAAACTGCATAACTTTTTGACCAAACAATTACAATTCTAGAAATTTCTCTTACACATGTTTCCAAATGTGTTATGAAACATATACAAAGATTCACTGTACTATTGTTTGTAGTTTTAAAATATTTAGGAACAACTAAAATAACCGTAAAATCTACTAATTATGGAACTAAAAATGGAAATATGTAGCAAATAAAAACTGAGGTGGCAATCTTTTTATATGTACTAACATGTTACCATGTCCAATATATTTAACGAAAAGAATAAGTGGCAGAAAAGTGTATAGGATAGTTCAATTTGCACAAAGGAAATACATATACAAATACAGAAATTCAAGGGTGTATAAATGCACAGAAAACTTATGAAAAAGTTACATGAGATTTTTAATGACGGTTACTTCTAGTGAGTCGATTTGGAGAAGAGGAAATTAAAAACTTGTCACATTACACCTCCCTTTGCATTCTTCACCAACAGCTTTAATAACACCTTTGTGGTAAAAAGTTAACACACACACACTCTGACCATCACTGAGGAGACCCCTAAAAGCTAAAACAAAGAGCCAGACACATACCTCTTATTTGTGGTCTTGGCCATGAGCCAATTTTCTAAAAGTGGCCCCTTGTGGAAATATTTTCTCCGGAAAACCTCAAACTTACAGAAAAGTTGCATATACAGTAACAAAGATTTTCTTTTCTGAATCATAAATAGCTTATCTCTGATGCCCCAACACATGGAAAGACATTCTCCTGTAAACATCAGGACATTAATATTGATCAATCACGGCCTCCTAATCCTCCTTTGCCAATTGACCGGAAAGTGTCCTTTTTCCCACAAGCACCCAGTCCAGATCCTGTACGGCCTCCAGCTGCCAGGTCAGCTCCTCGCCCCTCCCTGACTCCCAGGGCTTGAAGAGGACGAATGGTCACAATAGGGTCTGCTTGACGTTTCTTCATGATTAGAGTTCATAGCAAGCACATCACAGGACTGGGGCTGTATTCTTTTACTGCAGCCTACTGTGTGGTGGACTGTTCTGACTGACTCCTCACTCCTCGAGTTCCCTTTCCTGGATTAAAGTGGCATCTATCAGGCCTCTCCACTTTAAAGTTACTCTTCCTCTCTTTATAAATAAAAGCATCGTTTTGTGAGAAAGGACTTTGATACTGTAAATATCCTATTCCTCAAATTTTCAATCTATTCACTTATGATTTATTTGAACATGGGACTCATGGTTTCCTATCTTATTCAATGTTACTATTATTTATTTAATTTGATGCTCGATTTGCCCCAGATTTGACCACTAGATGCCCCTTCGAGCTGGCTTCCGTGCCCTCTGAAGAAGCTACATCATTCTTGGAGCACTTCCTTGCTTTCTGGTACAGCAGGCTCATCTTATACTTTTCCCGCTCAAGCTCCACAATCAACTTTTCCTCCAGGGAGCCCTAGTTCCATTTAGTGGGGAATGAATGGTGTTGCAAGTCAAGCTCTGGACCCGCTGCTGCTGGGATGTGGCTGCTTCTGGACCCTTTCAATGAGCTGAGGCAGCAGATGTGTGTACACACATAACCATATTTATTTCTGTATCTACCACCATATACCAAAAATCATGAGTTTGCACCAATATCTTCAATTTCAATCAGACACTCCAGGGTTCATTCTGGTTTTTTCTTTATTCATACGTAACTCCTTTCTTCAACAGAGAAAACTCTGGTTTCTCACTATTCCTAATATATTTACTAATTAGGCCAACTGCCCTGTAGTAATCTATTTCCCACTGTCACTGCTGTTCCTTTTCACCCTGTGCAGATGCCTTCCCAACCCCACCAGGGCTCCAATGTCCTGCTGGGCCACCCTTCATGAGTATGTGCCCTGAAACACTGTGCCAAGTCTCCCACCACCATCACCCATGAGTGAATGACTTCCTCACCCGCTTAGGGTTCCTTTCTCTAGTCCTTTAGGGCATATCCTGCAAACCTGACGCTGCTATCTACCATGCTCTGTCCTACTGAATGGCTTGGGGACTTACCTGATCAGGAGGGACAGAGGAAAAGAGGACAGGAGTTGGCCATGACTCTTGAAAAATGAGTCATACCAAGAACCGAGGCACTTTATTTCTGAGACTTGAAACATAGTTCCGTGTATCTCCTAGAACACACATGCAGCAAGTTTTCAAATAACTGTCTAAGCCAGCGGTTCTCAACTTGAGGGTCGCGACCCCTTTGGGGGTCGAACGACCCTTTCACAGGGGTCGCCTAAGACCATCGGAAAACAAAAAGATATTTACATTACGATTCATAACAGTAGCAACATTACAGTTATAGAGTAGCACCGAAAATAATTTTATGGTTGGGGGTCACCACAACATGAGGAACTGTATTAAGGGGTCACGGAACTGTACTAAGGGATCGCAGCATTAGGAAGGTTGAGAACCGCTGGTAAGCTAAAGAATAAAATCTGAGACTATTGTAAAGTATTTTAGAAAGAGTATCAGGAGTCAGAAAACGCAGAAATACCAGCATATTAATAAACTATAAAGCTCTAATTAAAAAGTGATCCTGGAAAAAGAATGACAGGCTGATGGAATGAGAAACCCAGAAACATGTTCTATACCTAAGAATGCAGGATAAAAAAAAATCATGTAGGAAATCAGTAATTTAGGAAAGAAATCAATTCACTGTAATAAAAACAATAACGAATCTCTCTTCCTCTCTCTCTCTCTCTGTTATAAAGTGACCAGTCTCACTCCTGCTCCCCAGGCCCCTTCCTTTCCTCCCTAGAGACAACCCTCTTTGCTATTTTATTGTGCATTTTTTCAGAGATATTCTGTGCACAAAAACACGTCCGTGTCCTTTCTTTAAAATGATGACATTTTATTAACTGTCCCGGCCTTTGTCTCCCCCAGTACCTTTGTTCTGTGTTTCTTTTCTGGTAAGGCCACAGAGTATTCCAGTGAATGAATGTACCACGAGTTAACCAGGTCCCCATCAACATCTAGCTGTTTCTAGTCTTTTCTAGTAAAAAATATGACATCCTTGAACATACAATTTTTTCATATGTAAGTGAAAACACACCTGGATATATAAATCTAGGATAAATCACTAGAAGTGAAAAGGTTATCTGCACTTAAGTTTTGATATCACCAAATAGCTATCGGAAGAAATAGTAATAATACCAATTTAGGTATCTCACCAACAAGAGTGCCTGCCAAACTTGTTTGATCTTTGCATATTCAACAAGTTAAATAAAAACTCCAGGCTGCAGTTTATATTTCTGAACGGGAGCATCATTTCATATGTTAAAACGACACTTAAAATTCCCGTTTCTCCATGCTATTTGTTCATACCTGCTCCCATTTTCCCCTCAGCTTTGGACTACTGGTTTTTATTACCTTATTAATTTTTAGCAGTATTTTTTAATAATAAATTATTACAAGTATTTTTTTTCTGAACTTGAGAATTCTCTTCACTTTGTTTATAGTATATTTTATTACATCTCTTAGAAATTTGATTTTTGAGTATTCAAATTTGTTTTTAATGGTTTCTAGGTAATATTACATGATGCTTAGAAAAATTTCTCATACACAGATTATAAATTTTGTATTGTATTCCTTGCATTTAAATCTTTGAGCTATCTAGAGCTAATTTTGATGTCAGGAATGACAGAGTTCCAGCCTAATTTTTTTTCTACATGGCTACCAAGATGTACCTAATATTTAATGAACAATCTAGGAATGCCTTCCTAATCGTGAAGAGATATACAGGAACACAGAATCAAAGACCAACAGACCTAACCTAGTATTTTAAATTTTCTTAAAGAAACTCATAGCTCACAGAAACATACTATATACTAAAGACAAGTTAATATTAATACAGATTTCATTTAAAAATGTAAAAAAAACCCACTAAGCTCCACAAAGATAAATTGGTAAAGAACCAATGATCTTAAAAAATACACGGCTGAACTTACAGAAAGGTACCGAATTTCATTAATAAAGGAAATGAAAATTAAGCCAATGAAATAATCATTCACCTATCAAATTAGCAAACATTTTAAAATGATATTCAAAGCCAGCCACAAATGATACTCAAAACTTGCCTGTGGTAGGCAGGTAAGTTCAAACACTGGGAGTGTGTGCTGCTACTTACCTAACTTCATAAGAAAAATTGTAACATACATATTAGGGATTGTTAGAGAGGATCAATCTCTTGGAATCAGTAAATCAATTTCAAAGAGTCTCTCCTCAGTAATTACTCATAAATCTGGGAAATATTTTAGGCATAAAAATGGTCAAAGCTTTATTTTTAGGGGAAAAAATAGAGAAACAGTCAAAGGAGTAGACAGCCAGATGGGATATATTCTGCAGCCATTCATTCACACTACTTCTGAAGAATTAAATATAAAATGCTTATAATTTGAGGGTAAAAATAGGATATAAAACTGCGTATCTAGTATTACAGGCAAACAAAAATAGCTAAAAATAAAAATAAAAAATGTCACTAATTGCTATAAGGGTAACTGCCATCTTTTATTATTTTTCTGTCCAGATGGTCTATCTTGAGTATTGATTAGCCTTATCATGAAAACCCCAAACTACCTAAGTAAATGAAGTGATTCTGTATCAAGTACTTTGCATGAAAACATACTGAAGGTGGCTTTGTTATATTTTATTACTCTATTTTGGAGCAGTATAGAGGTGGAACTTTGAGTCTACTACTGGTCAGTCATGTGCTCTCAGGCAAGGTAAGGACTGGTTAGAATCTGAGGCCAAGTAGGAAGCATCGCCTGGCTGGGGACAAGGCACACACTGAAGCCAGCAAGGACAGGTAATAATACACACCGACTTGCTCCTAAAGCCACTCATTCTGTTGCTCAGCATACACTAGAGCAGTGGTTCTCAACCTTCCTAATGCTGCGACCCCTTAATACAGTTCCTCATGTTGTGGTGACCCCCAACCATAAAATTATTTTCATTGCTACTCTATAACTGTAATTTTGCTACTGTTATGAATCGTAATGTAAATATCTTTTTGTTTTCCGATGGTCTTAGGCAACCCCTGTGAAAGGGTCGTTCGACTCCCAAAGGGATTGCGACCCACAGGTTGAGAACCACTGCACTAGACGCTGCCATCTGGCATCCTTACCATCTCCTCCAGTGCAGACCACCCGGCTCACACTGCCAGACCCCTTCCCAATACCATAGCTGCAGAAGCCCCTCCTGAGCCCCCTCCAGATGCAGCTGTCTGAGTGCTCACCACCCTCTAAAGAACTGCTGCTCACTGTGTGCTCTGTGGGTCCCAGCATCTCCTGCAGCCAACTAGAACCCCAGAATTACAGAGTAAGCGCATGCACTTCAGTCAGATCCCCAGGGATGCATATGCCCACCAAAGTCTGAGTAGCATGGGGGACCTGAGATCACAACCAGGTCTTCCTCCCCATCACCACCCAACCTCCCACCTGGTCTCATCCCTGGACCACTGGACCACTCTCTGTGACCACACCACACACCCGGCCCCTGCCTGTGCCCCTCCTCTTTCTCGGAACCCGTCCACTGTGCCCTCTGAGGCACCCTAAACCTTCAGGCTTTCCAATGAACAGAGCCTGTACCTCCTTATTCTGACTAAAATCTTGCCAGCTGCTGGGGCCCTGCCTTCCCCGCAGCCCGTTCCGGTGGAAGGTACTTGTTACCCATCCTATCACATGCAGGCTGCGTGGGGGGAGGCTCACTGCAAGCTGGTCTAGGCACGCATCAACCTTCACGTCACTCGCCCACCTTCACAGTCAGTTTTGGCCCCTGCCTCACTGCCTTTTCCACTCCAGGTCTTCCATCGTGCTGGGGGGCTTCAAAGGCCACACGGGACCACCGAACACTGCTGGCGCTTCGCATGGCTGCCTTTTCCCCAGTGACTCCCTCCATCTCCCTCTATCTTATTTCAGTCATTTACTTCCACAGTCACAACCTGGATCTTGGCATACAATGAAAATGCTCCCTCCCGGATTTCTGATTCTCTCCCTCGAGAGCCAAACATTCATGGCTTCTTCCCAGCCCCTCCTTATCCTGAGTGTACGCACCAGGCCCCTCACTACAATAAACGATACACATCTCTGCTCTCCCTCTCCTCCCCCTTCCCAGTCTGCTTCCCAAATTGGGCCACTTTATGTACAGAGGGCAGATAAGAAGAAGCCTCACTTAGCCTTAACTCTAAGCCATATATGCTCCAACGCGGCTTTTAGTTATCTGACTTATTAGTAACTTCAAGTTTCCAGTAAAACAGTTCTTGTTTCCTCAGCCACTGTTACTTAAGCAAATCTCTTACGTTAGAAAAAAAATCCCTCAACTTCCCATATGAAACAGGTGCATTTACCTACAGTCACACCCACACCTGTGCGGGTACCTTAGCCCACCCATGATCCCCTGCCTCTATCTTCACCTCTTCCTCTCTCTGGGGGCACAGGGGATGTTCTGGGACCGGACACAAGGCAGGGCGTGTGCCCCTCTGGCAGCATATATAACACTCACCTCCCCTACAACCATCTTTTCCAATAACCCATCAGCCTCACAAGGGCAAAGATCTGACCTTAACCTTCAGTGAACAACTGCCACTGCTGTGTCTCCACCACGGCGGTGCCTGGGCCATGGCTATGCCTGAACCACCGCTGCACCGAGAGCAGGCGTTCACGAAGTGGCTCCTTTCGCTTTCCCACCCACTGCCTAACCTTCTTACCTGACAACTTACAAAACAAAATCTCCCAAGTTGTGCTCTTGTACAAGGGTCTCTTTCAATAAATATTTAATGGAGAAAAATAAGGTTTCACCGATTATTTGCATATTTTGGAAACAATCCCTTTTGATTTCACAGAGGTGAAGAGTACAATGATAGAAGAAATTAGCCTGGTGTCTTAGGGTGAGCCGAGACCTAAAACAACGTAAGGTTATAAAGGTCCCCAGAAAAAAGAATCTCTGCGATGTCCCCGAAAGCCCCACTCGAAGTCCTCCCGCCAGCCCTGATCCGGTCTGTGTGTGGCACTGCTGAGGAGTCGGGTGGACTGTTACCTTAGGACGGGCTCTAGGTCATGATGTCGCCGTTCCTCCCTTTTCAGCGAGCCCTGATTCAGGGCTCTTAGGATGGTCTTGTCAAAAGTCTCTAAAGACAATTCCTTTGGAAGCTAGAAAAGAAAAACAGCATGGCCAGTGTTAAGTTTCTCCCTTACGGGTAGTAAATATGTTATAAACCAGAGGCATAAAAGGAAGCTAAATGCCTCCTGTTCAGTAACCATCTCAAAGCAGCTCCTTTTCTAAATCTTCACAGCCCAGGCCCTATGGGAGCAGCAGACACCTCCACTAGGACAGCGTCGTCGGCCTCCTGGGCACCCCTCAGGGCTCCGCAGAGGTGCAGGGGGGCCCAGCCGCGTTCAGTGTGCTTCTGGGACACGCGGGCACTTAGCTCACGCTCTAAGTGCCACACGCCACACTACACTGACACCCATACCAAGGTTCTTTAGTTAAAGGGAACGTTTTACATAGCACGGCCACTATTATTTTTATCCTCAAATAGTAATCTGAAAGGGGTTATCTCTGCCTGTATAGTTATTGCTTATGCGCTCCTCAGGCAATGTCAGGTTCCAGTGCTACACACCAAATAAAGAACTGGGTGTGAAAGATGCGGTGAAAACTCTCAATCTGACTTATATATTACACACACACACACTAATTGAAAGTTTAGTAGTAACCTTTTCTTTGATGTGATGGAGGTACCTTCAGAACAAAAAAAACTATCACTTGGCCAAGAAAATTTTAAAATTAAAAACAAAATTTTAAGTCATTTTATTAACCAGTTTACTTTTGAAAACTTCTAATAAATTGATTCTCTATAAAACTAACTTTCCAAGTCTTTCAAGAATTCAAAGTTTTAAATTTGACTTTTGTTTCTTGTGTTCTTTAGATTCCACATATAAGTGAGATCATATGGCATTTGTCTTTCTCTGTCTGACTTATTTCACTTAGCATAATATTCTCTAGGTCCATCCATGTTGTCGCAAATGGTAAGATTTCATTTCTCTACAGCTCAGTAATATTCCATTGTATAAATGTACCACATCTTCTTTACCCATTCATCCACTGATGGGCATTTAGGTTGCTTCCATACCTTGCCTATTGTAATAGTGCTGTAGTGACATAGGGGTGTATATATCTTTTCCAATTAGCGTTTTGGATTTCTTCAGATAAACACCCAGAAGTGAAATTGCTGGGTCATAAAGTAGATCTATTTTTAATTTTTTGAGGAATCTCCAAACTGTTTTCTATAGCAGCTGCACCAACTTACATTCCCACCAACAGTGCCCGAAGTTTCCCTTTATTCCACATCTTGGCCAACACTTGTTTTTTTTATTTAAATTTGACTTTTTATAACTAGTCTTTGCAATTAACTCCTGAATTATTAAATTAAGAGAAACATTAACACAGTATCTAAGGAGCCCCAGGGACATAACAATTTTCACAAACTGTCTGTTTACATATTTATCTTTAATTGGAGAACCCAAAGTAAATATTCTTTCGACAAATAGAGACCTTGAGTGAATAATTCAGAAATGGAAAATGTAACGAAAGTAGCAAAAGTCTTACTAATTTTAGGCACAGTGACACTATGGAATCAAGATGTTATGTGAGAATGAAACTCTTCCTGGTTCTTTTATTAACCTGATGTGGTGGAAGGCTCTGCTGGCATTCCACACACCCACCGTGGAAATCAGGCGCTCTGCCTACTCACAGGAAGAAACGAGTTCTGGATCTACACATTTTCCAAACAAAGAAATGACTATTCATGTCAATATTTACATTTTGATATTATCATTTTAATATAGATTTAGGACACTCGCATGTATCACCCCCATATTTTAAACACAATTTCTCCTGAATACCTGTACCCAGCCAGGATAACCAGCTTCGTGAAGAAGTCTGTTTTCACTACCGAGTGGCTGGTGGCGGGAGTACCAACTCCTTACCCAAGCCTGCCTGCCCACATGACTGGGCAGAGTGCAGATGTGCAGGCAGCAGTATCTGCAAACTGTTTACTTGCAAGTGGTTTTTATCTTTCATCTCCAGAGACTATTTTCCAGTCTTAGAGGAAGGCATAGTTGCTAAAAATACAGCTCTAAATCATGTCTCTTCTATTTTAGTCCCTCTTGGATTTTGTCACCTCTCGGTCTTCGTTCCAGCACATGCAGCTTCCCACCTCCGGAGCCCTGGCACAGCCTCGGAACAAGCTCGGAGTGCGGGAAGGTATTTGCATCTTGCGATTGCAAGCTTCCCTTTAAAAACACTGAGGCCTAATGGATAACCATCTACAAGACCTCACCACAGTTTAGTTTCTGTAACTCCTCGTTCTTTCATTCAGTGAACAAATATTGAAACTCCACTTCTGTCCTAGGTACTGTGTCAGGCCCTGTGCATACAGCCTTGAAAGAAGAAACAAAACCCTGCCTCCATGGGGCTTCCATTCTGGTCACGAGGAACAGCAGGCGGCATCAGATGCAGCTAAGAAGTAGCAGGCGAAGGGAGCCAGGAGGATGTGGAGAAGAGGCTGCCATTTATGTGGGGAAAAGGACCTGAAAGCACCGACCTCAAACTCACTCTCACAGTACAGCAACCTAAGAGTGCAGCTAGGCAGCATCCACAAAACTCAGAATGCACAGGCTATCAAAAGAACAGTTTTTGCTCTTAACTTTTATAGATGATTTTAAAAGGAAGGTAAAGAAAAAATCTATATGGTCAACCTGAAAGTGTGTTTTATAACAGGCAATTAGTCTCCAAAAGTGTACAATGATGTCGATTATTTCATATAACTCGATAAGGCATTTGTCCTATTTGAGAAAAATACTATCTTCAAATGCTAACTAAGCAGGGGGAGATCATGAATTACCATGACTCTCAAGAGTGAATTATTTATTTGGGGCTGTAATCTTGTAAAGCACTTCAACTTTTAGAAAAATTATGTGACTAACATGAAATCTGTCAAGACAACTGAAGCTCAGGGAAAGCCAGTGGGATAAGCTCTGCCCAGACGCCAGGCCCATGTGTGTGTGTGTGTGTGTGGGGGGGGGTCGGTCATGTGCTTTCATTTAACTCTCTCGGGGAGGGGGCGGGAACATGACGACAGGTAGGGAGCACCCCCATCCAAACTCGTTAAGTAATCGGCCTTGACTGGTGGCAGTGCTGGATGCCACCACGTCCGACTCCACAGCGCAGGGTATTTCAGCCTGAGCTCTCTGCCCGCTGCAACCCACCGCCGGCATCAGACTAGACTCTGTCATGGAAAGGGCCACAGAAGAAAGGGAGATGGCGCGCTGCTCTCACCCAGATGCAGCCTGTTCATGGCTACCTGCCCTTAAACTTTGATAGATTTATTTTATCAAGAGAGAAAAGTTACAAATACGTAGAAGAGGGTTTAAAAGCGCATGTGTAGGCATGAGCGGGGCAGCCCTTCTTTATTCCTCAAGAGGCACGTGAGCCGGAGCCACTGTGTCGTGTCCTCCGGGTGCTCACATACCAGCCCCTCCCACCGCTCTCTCCTCACTCTCCACGCTGCCTGCAGCCAACATGTCACATGCATACACCCATCTTTACATGCGGTTAGGTCACTAGTTTAAGTGGGTGAGGGAGTTGGTTTACAATAAGCCACAGGAAAACGGAAATGTTCAAGTCATCCCTGGGTGTCAGCACATCGAAGTGTGTCCCACCCAGCGGAACTAACACTATCAGCACACTGCACTGTGGGCTCCTCAGAGCCAGCACCGCCGTACTACACAAAGCTCCGCAAGCTGGTGACAAAAAGCCTCTTAGCTCTAAGAATGAAGAGAGACCCACGCGCTCTGAGAGAATATATTTCTGCTGACAAGCAGACAACCCCAGTACTGTCCTGAAAATTTCGGATTTTACTGGTTCAATAACTATGTCACACCTTCACCTAAAAGTTAGTAATTGAGTTGGCAATATTTCCTGTTTCTGGGCTTTCTATTTTATCTTCCTATAAACAATAAATTTTAAATTATCTACTTACTGAAAAACAGTATTTATTGGTTAACCATTTAAACCTATTCCCTTCTTTAAACATTTATTTCTACCCACACACTTTTCAATAAAATAAAACTGGTATAAAAGCAACAGACAAGAGTTTGAACAAAATGAGCTGATGCTCTTCACCTCTGCCAAGTCCATAAGATGTTTCCATTAACCCTTATTCTCAATACTCTGGAGATTCTATCATTGTGAGGAGTAGAGGGGGACCTGGAACTCAAAGAAGGAACAAATGGAAATATATTTAAGGAAGTCCACCAAGGAAGCCCAATAGCTGTTAGGTCTGAGTGCCACTAGCAAATGCAAACAAGCCTCATCTCATTCTGCAGACGCCTCTTTCACAGGAAGTACTCTTATAAGCAGCCACCAACGATACACATCTGGGCAAGGAAGTAGGAGCAAGGTTCCATTTCTTTAAAGTGGGGAAAACCCTTCGTTATTTGCTTATATTGGTAACGTAAAGTAAAAAAAATAAACTTACGTTTAGAATAACATGATATTTTCTACAGCTAATATTCAGGGAGACTTCTCCAAAACCTTTACATACGTGTTTTAACTTTCCTGGTGTTTGTTTTGATATTAAGGTTTTCGGATTTTGTATGTTATGTAACAATCATTTTAACAATAAAATCTATACTTTTACCTTCAGTAGAAATTCCTGTAGTTCTTGGTGGGTTTTTGTTACTGTAGTGACTGAAAGATCAGACCAATTTACCTGATTTAAAAAAAACACACATATGGTTATGTCTTAGGTGGGAAACGGCTGGGAAAAAGCCATGTGTAAAACAAAGGGCCTTACTTAAATTTTATTAACAATTAGAAATATAAAGTTAATCTGGCGCTGCCATAATTTCTTCAAAATTGTTAAAATTAACTGCACAATGACATAAGCTATTCAAAAAAATTTTAATAACTCCTTTCAAATCGCATGGTTTTTGTTTGTTTTTTAAAGCTGTCTTTATAAATACGTGACTATTTTAGTACTTTTTCAGAAAGGGAAATGTCTTATATTCCTTTTTATGAAGTTATAGGACTCTAAAAGGATGCTTTGACAGTATAGATCTATGCCCTAAGAAAAGATAAAAATTCTATCTCCTGGAACTTATGAAATACACATTCTTAAGAGAAATAACTAGGGCTAACTGCCCTTCTTTGGTAATGCCATACTGTATTTTTACGGGGATTTATGGTTTATGAAGAGATATCATCTTTATCTCAATTCTGTAAAATCCTATTAAGGTTGACGGGGCAGGTATGACCATCTCCATTTTCAGAGAAACTGAAGAAACTAAAACTCAAGAAGGTTAACTTACTAAGATTTGACCCTAAGTAAACGAAAGAGCCAGAACTGAAATCTATTATGCTGCTTTACCTCTTGGATACTTTTAATTCAGTGGACCTGGTGGATGGTGGCCCAATAATAATTTCTACTTTACAATTATTTGAGCTAAGTAAATACTTGAACTATGCTAATATTTAAGCCTTACCAACTGATCGTATCATATTAATCAGATACTTTAAGCAAAATGACGTATAATGAAACCAGTTTTACCATAGGCTAACTGATATAACAAGTGTTAGGTTCCTAGGGCATTTCATTAACGTTAAAACGAAAAACATTACATGAAATGATGTTATTCGAGGACCTGCTGTACATGCAAAATGTTATCTAGCAACCCTCAAAGCAAATATCCTCATTAACTGGCACATCTTTTAAATGATTTTTCACTATTCAAATGTTCGTTCAGCAGCTACTTGTGTTGGACACTGTTCTCAGTAAAAAGGATACAGAAGCGGACAAGCCGAAGCCTTTGCTGGCTGAGGTCAGAGTCTGGTGCAAGAAGCACAACATACGGGAGCCAAGAAAGCCCTCAGAGAAGGGAGTGTTGGCACCTGTCTATGCGTTGAAGGGACATCAGCGTGTCATGGCCCAGAGCAAAGGGACAAAAACCTTAAGGAAGGAACAAGCCAAGCGCTCCAGCAACAGAAGGAGAGCTGGTGAAACTGAACCAAGAGAGCAAGGAGTGGTTTGTGCCAAATGTTACAACACTCTCAAGTGAAACATGGAGGCAAGAACTTAAAATGTGCAAATTGAGGCTATTTCTCCCACCCAGCAGAAGCCAGAGTTCTGAAATTCATTCAACAAATGCACTAAGTGAGTCAGATATAGTGGGATGACAGAGGATGAAGATTCCTGCTCTCCATGACATCATAACCTACTGGAAAGAAAAACCGTGTAACCCAAATGTTAGAATCTGTGCAAGTTATGATGGCAGTATACCTTAGATGAATAAAAAAACAATTCTGTTGGAGGATCAGAAGTGACGTCATGAGAAAGGTACAGCTCAAGTTTGGCAAGCAACACCTTAGGAGAGGAATTGAGGGGAAGAAGCATGGAAATGTGGCATTATTCCATTTGGCTTCAAGGCATGTACAGTCCCACCTTAGAAGAAAGGCTGACAGGGAAGCCCAAGCTGGGAGGAATAAGAAAGATGGGGACAAGGAGTCCACATTACAGCAAACAGGCAAAAAGAAGCCATGGGAGTACCAGAGCTGGGCTGCACGGTTCATGAGAGCTGTTTGAAGGACAGGATGACCAGAGAGCAATTAGAGATAAGAAGACAAGGCAACAAAGGCCAAGTAATAAAACTATCACAGACAAAGGAAAAGAGAAGAATACCAGGGAAAACAATGCCAGAAAGGACAAGGCCCGTGATCCTGATTGAGAAACTACTGGTGAAAATGCTTCCTTTTACTTTTTAAAGATGTATCTTACACCTTAAATCTAAGAATCTTTTTTTTCTTTTTAATAAAATTATCAGAGTAATTTTAATGTAGTACACTTTTAAAAACTTGGCAAACCATGCAGTTACACACTGACAGCAGCATTCCCTTAATTAAGACAAACACATACATAGGTATACCTTTTCTAAATTAGCAAACCTGCCACAAGTTTTCCCAAAGATACATTTTCATTCTTTCCAAAAGATCATTTAACATAGTACATGAGATATCTTTTGTGGGTGAGAGCAGCTTACTTTGAAGGTGTACTCCCAATATTTGTCAGCCCTTTTTCTCTGGACTCCTGTCAACATTATCTTCTCAATGTGTACAGCTGAAAGAAAGAAAACATGCTGACTTGTTCTACAGAGACTAGATATACATTTCAGTTACCCAAAGTGACAAATGCTACAAGATTAAGCTATTTATCTTCATCTTTACTACTACCCTTAAATCATGAAATAAAGCAAAAAACCCCAGAAGCAAAGCAATATGCCATCCATCCCCGAAGTAATTTTTTTCTATGTCCATTCAGAGTGCTGAGTGCCTAAATTGTTTCAAGCATTCTACTAAGCACCAAAGATAAAAAAGATAAATAATGAAAGGCGCCTAGAGTGAAGACTATTTTTTTCTAGATGCTAATCTTCAAAGCAGTTATCAGATTACTATAAATACAGCACTTTAGATTCATCCACAAGAAACAGTACTTAACAATAATGAGGCTGGTAGTAATGACGATGATAAAGGTCAGAGGGAAGAAGGTAGGAAAGTGACTCAACAGACTGGGGTCACGGTTGGATTCGGGCAACAGGAGATGGAGAAAAGGAGGGAAGGATTCACTTTGCCGTAGAGGAAGAAGTTAAAATAGATGAAGTAGAATACACAAAGTAACAGAAGTATACAGGAAGAATTAAGATTGTTATAGATCACGGAAGGTGGGTCATCAGAAAGCAGGAAACATAAGATGCAGAAATTTGCTGGTAAACAGACCTTCATAATAAACTAAGGAGATACCATTACCAGGATTTTGTGCCAACTTTCCAAATATATAGTGTGTGATGGCCTGCTTCTGAGTCAATTTCCTCTTAGTGGGGAAGGAACAGAGGACAGAGACAAAAGGAAGTCTCAAAAGCAAGGTGAGAAGCCTGTATGTAACTCCTCAGAACTGCCGCAGTACCATAAACACCAAAGTGGGGAAGGGAGAGTGATGCTTTCAAAAGCTTTTCTATTAAATTATGTAAAGGACGGTGCTATTAAATAAAAGCCATCTGAACTAATCTATGTTCAGAAATATAAAGCGGCTCTACATCTGCAAATCAGGGGCTACAGGCAGGGGACAACTTGGGCAGTGAGGGGTACGGGAGCACGGCTACGTCTTCAGCCTTGATTTCAAGTTATACCTGCCGTGATCTATCAGAGCCAAGATGAGTAAGACCAGAGTATGTGGTGAGGAATGGCTGACAAGGGGAGATCACCCTCCAACCCTCGTAAATTAAAACTGAAAAGCACAAATTACATACATTTTTTAAACATTAAGAAAATAAGAAAAATCTTCTACAGTACCACCACAATTGTTAGCATTTTGATGTAGTCTTTATGTTAAAAAAAAAAATTTTTTTTAAAGGACCTTCTTTGTAAAACCAAATGGCTGTAGTTACTTGCATGTTTAGTGAGCTTAAGTGAAGCAGTCTATGAGGCAAGTAGTTTGATAGTCTTGAATAGAAATGGTAATTATGCAAACTTTTTAAAACATTAAACATTCTCATAGCTATTTTTCCTCTGTGAGGAAAAATGTATTACACAAAAGGGATTATTACTGGGACTTAAAACAGACAAAATGTTGTAAATTCAAAGCTGTTATCACTGGTGTGCCGCTTCTTGTCTCTCCTCCACCCCTCAAGGATGCCCAGGTGGCCGTCTGCACTTTCCAATTGAACGTTCCCCTCAACACAGGGAATGGGCTGCCCAGTGCTGAGAAGACAATATCTGAAGTCATTCATTTGCCCATGGCAATGTCTTTGCATTCCCCCATCCCAGCCCTCTTGAAAACTGCGTTATTGCAGGAAGCATGGACTTGCAAGAAATGTCTTCACTCTCTTGCAGTGCGCTTCTGTAAAATTCACCTTGTCGGTGGATGCTGAGCACATTCTACAGATTAAGCCCTATACTAAATACTTTGGGAATACGTTTAGGTCTAGGTCTCTGCCCTCCAGAGATATGCAACCAGATTTAAGACAAATGACTACAAGGGAGAGTCAAGTAAGTTCGCACCAGGACCGGCCAGCTGCTGGGGAGCAGGAGCCAGACTCAGGCTCAAAGAAGCGGGAGGGCTGGCACTTGAGCTAAACCTCAGGCTGGTGGGATTTCTGTACTCCAAAAAGGGGAGAGAAGAGTAGAGTTAACCAATGCAACTAGCACTTTGCAACCTTCCCATGTATAGGTGCTTTAAGTTCACAAAGAGTACAGCATACCTTCTCGCTGGGTTCTATGAGGTGCCACAGTAAGTCCGTCATGAGGTATTGGGGCGTGTTCTATTAAACTGGCCTCAGTGCTTTGCATGTAATCACCATGAGCAGAGTCACTCTGGATGAGAAAGAGGGGTACACGTTAATCTACACCAGACTAAGAACAGTAAATTCCATAAAAATAATCCAGATTGAAGTTTTACCCTTTTTTTCAATTACAGTTGACATTCAATATCATTTTATATTAACTTCAGGTGGTTACGCCTTTACATAATTTACGAAATGATCCCCCAATAAGTCTAGTACCCACCTGACACCAAACATAGTTATTACACTATTACTGACTATATTCCCTCTGCTGTACTTTATATCCTGTGACGATTTTGTAACTACCAATTTGTACTTCTTAATCCTTTCACCTTTTTCATAGAGCCCCCAACCCTCCTCCGATCTGGCAACCATTAGTTGTTCTCTGTATCTATGAGTCTCTTTCTGGTTTATTTGTTCAGTTATTTTGTTCTTTACATTCCACATATAAGTGAGATTATATGGTATTTGTCTTTCTCTGACTTATTTCACTTAGCATAATCTCTAGGTTCTTATACTTTTAACAGCAACGATTTTAATAGCAATGTTTAGAGATCAAATAGGTGATTACACAGTAAAGGCAGAAAGGCATACAGTGTCAGAGCAGTAAGGAAAAGAAGAAATATCAATATTTATCTTCATTTAACAGTAATATTCTATCAATTATTCACTGTCCCAGTTTTCTTGGGACATACTACATATTACTATTCAGAATTGCCAATGTCAATTCTATACCAAAGTGAACCAAAACTGAAGGGACACATATAAAAGACCATAGGTACCCTTTATGCTAATCCCCCATATGTAAGGGTACATGTATTTTTTACTTTAATTACTATGCAATTTTTAATCATTACTTGGTTTTAGTGACAGTCTAATAAGATGCTTTGTTAGGAAAAGTTCTACAAAAGGTATCATGAATACACGCTGAATCCTTTTAAACAAGAATGTGTATGGCCAATGAGCCTACTACTGTTAAACCATCTAAATAGCAACTGGGTGCTCTTATCTAATTGAGTTTGCTCAGCCAGTCATTAGTGAACTGGGGTAAGTTTGACTTGTAGAACTGCTACTTCAAGTATTGGGTCGTGGGGAAAGTCATGACACATTTTTGCATCGAAAAACATAGAAAAATACATCATGACTTTCCCGACGACAATAATAAAGAGCATGTTAATCTTACACACAGCTCTCCAGAACTCAAGCACTGTCATGTGGATACTGCTACTAGAACACAATGGTTTAACCAAAAAATAAAACAGCCTTAATAACAGTTTTTTTCTCAAAACTCATGTTCAGCTTCTTGTACCCCTTGTACCCCTTCATGTTCAGCATCTTAAACAGCATCTTAAACACTACTCATGTACCCCTTCATGTTCAGCATCTTAAACACTACTCAGACCAAAATCGCCTCAGCTTCAACTGTCAATTACAATTTTATACATCTGCAACAAATATCATTCATTCTTAAAATTGTGTAAAATTGTGTAAAGGAACAAAGCAAACAGAAGAGCTGAGACTTCCCAAGAATCCTAATTTAAAATATTTTGTTCTGCTATGAGATCATGCATCCTGGGCCTGACAATAAGTCTGCGTTGCCAGCTGACAGCTCTATTTCTGGGAATAAAACATCATATTGGATACTTTCAGCAGCTAAGCTTCAGCCTTACACAATAGTTTGTCTTCCTCTAGAAACCCAAGGAAATAAAGATTGTCTACCAGAACTACTTAATGAGGAGGGCACAGACCTCTTAAGTCAACATCTAACTTTTGAAACATTTAGCATGATGGCATTCACCAATTTTCAATGTTACTGATTTTAAAAAGGAAGACAGGAATTCTTCTAACAATAACAAAATCATGTATATCCTAATCCAGACCATGTAATTATTTAATACAAAGTAGTAAAACCACATTGGTCTGTTAACAGTGCTGTATGTACTTTAAAAATCAATAAAGCACTGTAATCCTCTGAAACACTTGTGTTAATTGGAAGTTTAGTTGAATAGGTTAACCATTTTCCTACCTTGCTTATGTGTGGTTCATAAACTAAAAATCACACCATCAAATATAAACAAATGCAAAATATGCAAAACACAAGTTTTCATTGGGGAAATAAAAAAAAATCAAAACCACAATGAGATACTACTTCACATTCACTAGGATGGCTATAAAAACAGAAAAGTATTGGCAAGGATGTGGAAAATTGGAAGAACCCTTGTGCGTTGCTGGTGGGAATGTCAAGTACTGAGGCTGCTGGGGAAGACAGTACAGCAGTTCTTCAACAAATTAAACACAGAACTGCCATGTGATCCAGCAATTCCACTTCTAGGTATACACCCCAAAGAAATGAGACTCGAACAGATAACCTGTACTCCAATGTTTATATCAGCGTTATTCGCAATAGCGAAAAGGTAGAAACAACTCAAATGTCCATTGATGGATGAACCGATAAACAAAATGTGGTAGATACACACAACTGAATATTAGCCTTAAAAAGGAACAAAATTCTGACACATGCTACAACGTGGGTGAACCGCGGACATTAAGGTAAGTGAAATAAGCTAGGCACAAAAGGACATATATGGTACGATTCCACTTACATGAGGTACCTAGAACAGTCCATTTCATAGAGAAAGGAGAATGGCGGTTACCAGGGCCTAGAGAGAGACAGGAATGGGGGGTATTTGCTTAATGGATACAGAGGTTCAGTTTGGGAAAAGTTCTGGAAATGGATGGTGGTGATGGCTGCACAATGTGAATGAACTTGATGCCACTGAAGTGTACAATCAAAAGGGGTTAAAATGGAAAATTTTGCTATATATATTTTACCACAATAAAAATTTAAAACAATTTTATCATGCCACCTCCACATGTTATATTGAAGCAACCATAAGAAAGTAGTTCGCTTCATAATCAAAATAATATTTTTCAAGTCTGAAGTTACTTTAAGAACACAATGTAACCACCAAGAAAAAGCCCCCAGTTTAATAACCTAGGGAGAAAAATGGAGTTTGAGTTTCTATTCAAGAAACTAAGTTCAGAGGGCCGGCTGAGTGGCTCAGTTGGTTAAGAGCTCGCTCAAGAGTTTGAGCTCTGAGCAACAGCGGTTCTAGTCCAGCCCGAGCTGAGCAGCCACTGAGCTGCCAACAGGTAGCAGGATGGCTCAGCTTAAAAAAAAAAAAAAAAAAAAAAAAAAAAGAAACTAAGTTCATCAAGCCATGAAATATCTACTAATTAAGTTTTCTGTTCCAGACCCAAGTCTCAACATGTACCATTTAGACTAAGTTTAGAAATTATTTATAAAATTTTAAATTTCATTAATTTAATAAAAATTTAATATGAGCCCTCATGAGCAACAGAGATTAGAATCATGGAGTTTACTAGTAACCACAGTGAATGGCTGGTCAGCCCTGCCGTCTCCTCTTTCCACATGTGACATATGCCTTCCTTTCCTATGAGTAGGGGAAGGGTGCCATAAAATCTGAGAATTACTGGTTTAATGTAATCTTAGAAACGAATTCTATCTGTTTTCTCTATTAAGTTCAGAATCCCATGAAAACGCAATACAGATGACATGCCAGAATTGGTATTTTACAAAAACCAGTTATACGAAAGTATCTGGACCAAATGAAAAGTGGAGAACTTTTCTCTGCTTAGATTATCAGGATGATGAAGTTTAAAAATTCTAAGTCTGCAAAAATATGCATAAGAACACAAGGAGCAGTAGTGTGTGCTATTCTCCTTTCTGTAACTCATATGAGTAAAGAAACTCATTTCTGTCCATGACAAGCCACCAGAAGAAGCTCCTCGTTAGCTCAACTCCACTGGTCATGTAACGCAGGCGAGCCGGATATCTCACCCATTCCATATTACTGATTTAGCTTTTACAGATGTAGAGCCATCACAATTACATACTTGAGATTTCTTAAATGTGGGGAAGTTTGTGAAACAGTCAAGCAGCTGGACAGTCCTAAAAAGACTCTTCACTGAAAACATACCATGAGAACAAAGGTCGCACTGGCCTCAGACTTTCACAAAGGCCTATCGACTGAGTTTATTTTAGCTCATCTAACAATGTTCTACATATTCCCTCTAGTCCTTTGCTGTAGACTGTAAATTTTAAAATATCTAGACATTCTCTATTAAAAAAAAAAAGCAGAAATTAAGTTTCTCAGCCTTTTATTTTTTTTAATAACTTTACTAACTACTTCACAAGTTTTTATATTCATCAAAAGAGACCTAGACTATTAATATTAGTACATAACAACAACATCCTATTAAGTTTTGTGGTAGATTAACAATAACCAAAAATACTTTGATACTCCTCCCACTGAAAGCTGGGTCTAATTCTCCAACCAGCAGGCCTGGGCTGGCTTTAGAGGGTTGCCTGACCAATAGAAAGTGACGGAAGGCATGTTCCGAGATTGCTGAGGGCAGGTTTGAAGAAGCCTTGCTTGCTGTCTGGGCCTCTGGGAACACTTGCTCTTGGAGTCCTGAGCCATGCGCTAGAGACTACACAGTGAGAGGCAAGGGGGAGACTTTCAGCCCCCAGCTGCGTCTCCAGACATCCTGGAGCAGAGATGCATCACCACTGTCAGCTAGTTACCTGTCTAAATTCCTGGTCCACAGAGCTGTGAGAAACAATAATAAAATGGTTGTTGGTTTACACCACGAAATTTTGGGGTAATCTATTACACAGTTAAAGACTTTAAATTATCTTCTTTAAATAACCAGGGTTGCAACTATTATTTAAGCAAGATTCATAAAAAGTCTTACGTTGAATTTTAGAAAATGATCCGGTATTAGAAACATTACTGGGATGTCAAATTTTATCCATTTGGTGGAAGACAGTAATCAAAAATTACTGTCTGTCTCTTAAATTCAGAGGATGTAGTAGAAAAGCCAGACGTTATCTCAATTTCCCTCAATGAAATAGCATAGCCCAACCCAAAGTAATGCCTCAGTTACCCTACAGCACCTACAGCAAACTCTGGTATGAGAAGAAACATGGCTGGTAAATGTATTAGA